AAAAAAATTGCCATAACTAAAGAGCCGTTATGGCAACCTTAGTAGAAAGAACACGGAGGTAGCAGCGATAATAATAGGCACCACAACTGCTGCAATGATAATGACCAGATACTGTTCAATGAAACTCGCTGGGCATGCACTTCTGGAACAATCCCATTAGTGTCACTAAAAGCCTGAGAAGTATCCGGATTTTTTTCTGGAAAATTTGTCTAACCCATCAAAATCACAACGAGGTCGATTAAGAGGGACAGATCCTCCATGGTTAGCCCAAACCACTGATGGCGGCTGTAATTCTTGAATCTGCAAAAGATAATGTGAGCAAACATTTGAAAAAAAAAACTTAACTATCGTGTAACCGAAAAACAAACCAAATCTACGCTCTTATTTTCCAAGTCTTCTGCAATTTGCATCAAAACAATCTGTTTGTCGACAGAATCCAAACCGTAAACCAAAAACACAGGATTTCTTGTCAAATTCTCGTTGATAATTACAGTTCCAGAAAATCCTGAACACAGATATAATATTTCGATTGCTAAGGCTGCAGTGGCGAACGCAGGGAGGGGCGTTCAAGAATAGGTCGTCGAATTTTAAAAAGTAAAATTCAGAGCAAATCAAAATCATTAAATGTCTTTAGCTCATCATTATACAAAATTATTGTCAAATTTTTCTTCAAAACTAAGTGAATTCAGAAGAATTTCCAAAGGGACCTGGTCAGAAAAGTGCCTATTGCCCCGCCCCACACGCCCCTTTCTACCAATTTTCCCCCTCCCCGAGAAAATTTTCTAAGGTCGCCAATGTTAGACAGATGAGGAAATAAACATTACCTTCAAAACTGCCCTTAGCAAATTGTGCCAGTTGCGATCCCGTTGGATTCGGGTATCCGGCAGCGGTTGACTTATTCAATGCATATGCATACAGTAGCATTGCATCTGCTAGTTCTCCGATCAAAGAACTCGCCTAGAAGATCAACGTAAATTCTAATAAATTCGTTTTCCAACATTGCCATATTAGACAAGAAAGACAGTGCTAAAATGTATCCGCAAGATTTTTCAGTTACTTGCGCCTCCTCGTCAGAGCAGTCATATTTCTGCAGCAAGGTTCT